ATCCAGAATTAAGGTATCTCCCTCATGAAGAAAGGGTAAAAAACTCCAACTACGTTTCTTAAAAACCATGAGAATATAGTATGATTTAATTCCATATTAAAACACTTTTCATAAATTGGACAAAGTGTGCTGGTAACAACAATCAAAGCAGCAGTTTTTATTTCAGCAAATGATCCATCTGCAAACATTAGAGGAAATAAATCCCTTGTAGATATTGAGCTTATAAAAAGAAACAAACCAAGTTAAAATTTTCTGATAAACAAAGTTGAAAAATGGTGTAATAAACTACCAGAAGAAATCATTTCCGCATAGCTTGTAAAATCTTCAAGAACAAGCTTGATAAACATATGAATATTATAAAACTCTGATCTCTATGAATATTATGAAACATTAACTAGCATGGGCTATTAATAATTCAACATGGCGTTGAATCTCAAGAAGCATATAAATAAATAACTTTAAAGGAGTTAAGTTTATAAACTTCTTTTGCTTTCTAAAATAAAAGAAACATTTGTCATACAGTGGCACCAGTTGTGGTAAAGTCAGCTAGATTAGTTATGTATATCATCATACACTGCAGCAGACTTTAAAACTAGATAATTATCATGGGATATCTTATTGTAATTTAAAAAAAACCTCAAAATTTTTGTTTCTCTCAAAATAACTCCATTAAAAGTGAGGTGTTGTTTTTTTGCATTCAACATAATAAATTCTAAACTACTGATTAAACCTTTAGTCAAGATAGATTTTTAAATTTGTAACTTATTTAAAAAGTTTGTTTTTTTAATACACTGTGCTTTTTTTTTAAAAAAAAAAAAGAAGAAAGAAAAGACAGATAGTAAAGTAAAGATAAATCTTGTTTGACTGTACTTTAATGATGCAATATTTGGTAGCAGACTTTTTTGTATCGTCTTTTCTAGATTAAGTATAATTACTTAATTTGCTATTGTATACATTGGAATACAGCATATTAAAAATATAACAGTTATAACATATTTTATTCAAGCATGGTAAACCATAACATATTTTATTCAAGCTTTTAAATAAGACTTTATCTAATAATAAAAATAGAAAAACATTTTTGCATTGTTAGGATTAAACACAAAAAAAGGTAGAAGTTTCTACCATAGGGAAGAACATACGAATAAGAAAAATTATGTTGGAACAAATTTGTTCCAACGTCTTCCGTATTGTTGGAAAGACGTTGGTATGATATTATAAATGAAACAGCGGAAAAACGTCACTTTGATAACGTTATTGCAATAATGGAAAAATGACTTTGTAACAACGTTACATTTGAGCTAAAAAAAAAAATTTGACGTGGTAAAAAAAAACGTCCTCCAACGTTTTTCTAACATTTCCAAAAAGTTATTTCTACACTGCAAAGAACAATAAAGCACAATGTTACACTGTATAGCAATGCCCTTTTTACCTTATACTTATTAAGGTCATTCATGGTAATTATATTAGTACAGGCAAATATTTGAATATGGAAATTAAAAGACTAAATCAAACTTTACAATACTTCTATTTTAAAATTTTAAAATTATGTCTAATAAGATTAGACATATTTTTACTTTCTTTCTAAATTTCAGCCATATCTCAAATAATTCGCAGTCTTTGTTTGATACTAAATAAGGAAAATATATTAAGAAACATAAAGTTTCAAGCAAATCCAATTATAAGCATTTTCAAGAACGACATAAAAAAACATTCGTAGTATAATAGAAACACCACATCACCAGAAGTTGAACTAACTTGCTATTTGATGCTCACCTGAATTTATCTTCTTTCAAAAGAATATTGACTGCAAAAAAACAAATATCTTTGTGTTTAAGTTCAGATTTCTGTAAAGTTTTTTTTTTTTTTTAGGTTTTTTTGGCAAAGACAATATATTTTGTTATAACTTGAAGTGCATGGTACAATAAAGTAACTGAAATTGTACATTTTTACAAAGTGAAGAATCAAAATTTGTTTTAATAAAAAGTTCTCCTTAACACCAGTGATTACTTTGTAAGATGTTTTTTTCTTCCAATTTGAACTACTTATGTTTCACTAAGTGCTTGATGATTTGATAAAGTGGCATCTTCTTACCAAAAACTAATAATTTCAGACTTAAAAATTTTTAAATGAAAAGGCAGACATCAACAACCGGTCATTCAAAAATTTATAATATATCCAGCCATCCAAACCAATTTAACAGCATCAATGCATAACCAATGCATTGATGTTGGTAATATGGTTTGCATCTTCAGTGCATATAGATCAGTATACAAAATGAATAAACAGTGAAGTATTATCTTTTAAACTATACCAACAATCTAGAATATTTGACAAAATTAAAATATGATTAGTTTGAACATATGACAAATGACATATCCCTTTTTAAAAATACCAACAATTGACAACTTTTTGGTTGTCAACCAAAAAGTTGACAACCAAAAAGTTGGTTGGGGTTGTCAACAACTGACAACCCCAAAAACAAACGAAGTACATATTGTCCAAAACGAACTTAGAAGTGCAAAGTAAATCAATCAAAAGACTTTTAAATACTTCATATTCTTTATAACTGAACTTTACAAACTATGTTTGCTAAGAAAAAAATTGGCTTGATTGAAAACAACTCTTTCTTTTTATACATTTAATATTTTGCATTGGAGTATCAAATGTCAATTTTTTAACATTATCATACTTCAAAAAATAGTGTTTGCAAACAAGACCGTTTTCTGAAAGCAATTGAAACTTTCAACAAAACTCTATAAGAAACTCCTTAATCAAGTTAGGTTTTTGTTTCCGATAAAGAAACAGATATTTAGAAATAAACGAGCAAAGTAAAAACTAAAGCTGTCTGTTGCTAGATTATATAAAGGGCAGACCATATGCATTTACTATCAAATATTTCAAGATATCAAATAAATCAAGATAAAAGAAGTTGCAATATTTTTTCAGTATTCACAGGATAAGGTGTTTTTAGTAGCATTTATTTCCGAAGTATAAGTTGCAGCATTAAGAGAAACAAATCATTTAATGAAAAATGCGCAACTAAATGTTTAACTGGCCCCTGAACTAGGTCAAGCATTAAATTATGACAATACGGTAGTAGTGTAATGGTAGAACGCTCCCCTCATATCTACTAAGTTAAAATAAGTTGTTATAAAATGCTGTAAAATCTGGAATTTATCATTGCTTTGGATAGTTATCTTTTCTATTAGAAGAAAAGTTTCTAGAAGAAAACTTTTTTTTCAAATTTTAGACCATAAATAAGGTTTTAAATTGGGGCATGCAAACACTTTAACTCCAAAGTTTCATATCCTAATCAATTGTATATATAAATTCTGCCATTACAAACAAAATGGTCTTGGAATTTATTTTGAGCAATTGGTAGATAGTCTTCACTATCCCCTCAACGCTGTATCACTGATCCGTTACAAGGTCTATTATAATAAATCCAAACAAAGCAACAGTTGTAAAAATTTAGTTCTTACAATAAAAAACATCTTGTTTTTCTCGGCAATTTGACAAAAATTTAAATACATTTTGTTGCCTTTGCCTAAATAAGCATATCCTACAAGGCAGCAGAACATGGAGCAGATTGTACTGGGTTACATGTTACCAGTAGCAGGATAACCTTACCTGACATAAATATATATATATATATACATACATATATATATACATACATATATATATATATATATATATATATATATATATATATATATATATATATATATATATATATATATATATATATATATATATATATATATATATGTTTATATTTATTTATAATTAAATATATATTATTATATATATATTATATATATATTGTTATATATATTATTATATATTATATTTATTATTATATATATTATTATATATATATATATATATTATATTATATATATTATTATATTATATATATATATTATTATATATTATATATATATATTATATATATATTATTATATATATATTATATATATATTATAATTATATATATTATTTGTAATTATATATATATATATATATATATATATATATATATATATATATATATATATATATATATATATATATATATATATATATATATATATATATGTTTATATTTATTTATAATTATATATAAAATTTCTTTTATTATAAAGATATTATAAAAGTTAAAAACAACCAAAGTATAAACAAAAAATTAATTGTCAGATAAGTTGAATGTTTATTTATGTCTGTATAATATATATATATATATATATATATATATATATATATATATATATATATATATATATATATATATATATATATATATATATATATATATATATATATATATATATATATATATATATACATATATATATATATGTACATATATATATATAAATATATATATATATATATATAAATATATATATATATATATATATATATATATATATATATATATATATATATATATATATATATATATATATATATATATATATATACGTATATATATGCCCATAGGAACAAAAATTATATTAAGAGGTAGAGGAGGGGGGCAATGCTGGATTAAGGGCTTCAAAATAGTTTTAAGGACCTTTTTTTTTCTTTTTTAGTTATTTTTCAGTCAATTTTTTCAAAATTATTTATTTAAAAAATTATCGGGGAAACAACTATCCCTGGTGCCACCCCTAGTTTTTAATATATATATTTATATATATATATATATATATATATATATATATATATATATATATATATATACATATATATATATATATATATATATATATATATATATATATATATATATATATATATATATATATATATATATATATATATATATATGTTTACATTTTTATTTTTCCAGTGATTTGTCTTAATGCTTTTATATTGACAAATATGAATTTTTTTTAATGCTTCATTATTTCCCTCAATTAAAAGCACTAGATCTTAATACGTATGTTAAATAATTTTTATTGACTGCTATTATAAAAACTAGTTTTTTTTAGAATGGAAATCATGAAGAATATGTTACTTATGAAATCAAATCAAAAAATGATCATCATTTTCTGGATTTAAAAAAAATACAGTATGATTAAATTTAATTGTAATAATAAATAAAGAAAATTTTAATTAGATTTAAATTTTTAAAATTTTTACCATTTTTTAGACAAGCGCACCCAAAATTTATTTGGCTTCGTTCCTTTGAAAATGGAAAGGAAGTTGTTGTTAAGGTACATTTCTTATATTTGCTTTGTTGAGGTGCTTTCTCACAATAAACTTACGTATACTACTTTATACACTCACAAAAGAATGACAGCAAAAATAAAACAACAATAATAGTTATATTTACCAGAAATATTAATATATTACATGACTTTTTCAAGAGTAAATATATATATATATATATATATATATATATATATATATATATATATATATATATGTGATTTTATAGTCGTCAAAGAGACTTTATTGATAAAAAAAGTTTTTTTGTTTAATGGTGTTTTTGTTTTCGTATTTATATCAACTTTTATAATATTTTGAAAATATGGAGTGTTGCAATTTTTTATGTATGCAGTTAGAGAGTTAAGCTACTTTTTATCACTTTTTAACTTTTTAGCTGTAAGATAAAAGAAGTAATTAATTTTTAAAAAAACCACCTTGACTTTAGAATAATGATACGTAAAAATATTTATTACAAAAGTTTGAAAGAAGATACGTTAAAAATATTTGTTGAACAGGACTCAATATAATTTTTTTATAAGTCCCGGATAAAATGCCCAATCCAAAGTTGTTTGGGTCTGACAGTGTCTGATCAAATTTTTAAAATGAAATTTATATGGTTTTACCGAACCGAGATATGCAAGCAAAATCTTTGTCATTTTATTCAGTGTATTTAACGTTAGTCTAGTGATGTTGTAGTTTCTTTCCATATTGTTTAGGATTTTTTGTATCAGACTTTTGTTTTTTAATAAAATAGTTTCAATAATAAAATAGTTTCAATATTATAAAGTTATTATTAATTATAAAATAGTTTCAAAATTGTATGTTTTTTTAGATAGACTTAAATTTTCACACTGTAACTGACAACACTCATTATTATTATTTTTTTTTATAATTTGACAACGGCTGTTTTGATGATTTAACAATTTTAATGCAATATAAAAAATTTTTATGTACGAAAAACTTTTTATCATTGATCTTTTTAATGTTTTTATTTTACGCGAAGGCTTTGAATAAAATCAAAAAAATATTATAATGATTGTTTAAAATAAACGCATTATGAGTAAATTAAATGCTATATATATATATATATTTTTAGTAGGTATGTATTTTTTATGAACAATTTAAACGTTTGAAAATACTTTTCCATGTCTGTCAAGCAAAATAAACTTTTATTTATTATTTTAACAATGAATTTCTCAATTATTCTCAATATTTTATGCCCTTTAATGTTTTGTAAAAGATTTGAGCTTATGAAAATAGTCGTTTTTATGCAAATTTATTTATTTGTTTTCAGCAGTACAAGGAGACATAAGAGAGTTTTATTAAATCACTTGAAAAGTCAACTTTTTTTATCAACAGTTTTTTCAGAGTAAGTCCATTTTCTGCGTGGTGTATGTGTCATACTCTTCTCCATTGACATGTTGTTCGATTCATTAAGATTAAGTCAGTTACCTGCAAATGGGTGAATTATATGTTGATTTGGAATAGTATTATCATTGAATCCAAAATCAAACAAGGAAGGATTATCTTTTCTTCTACCAATTGACCATTGTAGTCCGAAGTAATTTTCTGAAGGATCCTGACAAAACCTTTTAGTTAATACATAACTTACATTGTTATTAATTAAAAATTTGATGTGTTCAATAACAGAATTAATTGGGATCTTTATACCTTCATGGGTTTGCCAATTAATAAACATATTACTTCTATTCACTTTTTGAAAAATTTCCGGGTCTTGATTCAATAGAAAAAAGCCAATCAGTAAGGTATTTAAATAAATTTTTTTTAAGCCATGTAAATCGAACATCATTAGTATCAGAAAATGGTTTTAAAAATGAATTGTGTTTTAATATGTAATCATTTGTATTACAAACATTTAAGAAATCAAAAAAATCATTAAATTATTTGCAAAACTGTGCAGTTCCAGCAGTATCAGATTGTGCATAGATTTCTAATGCAGTACTACATGAATTACTTAAAACATGTTCAGCAACGAACGTCCATAGCTGAAAAAGGAGTTATTTTGATGTGCTCAACGATTGGCTTTGGACATGCATGCAATTGACATTTTAAATCTTCATAAAACAAATCAGTTATATGAGACCATAAAATATTTTGACCCTGATTCCACATATAACAATTGCTTTTACCAGTTCCAGAATGAGAAAGGCTGTTCCTTGCTGTTTTAATTAAATGATTGACATCAGAAATAAAATATATAAACCTTTTATTGACATCATCAGCAAATGAATTATCAGTGTGATAAGTTACATCAACATGACCATTATTATCTTCTTTCTCAGTCAGATTAAAATGCATTTAAAAAAATTTTCTTTTCAATGATGCTCCATCACAAGTAACTGCTACTACTTTTAAACCAACTGAGATTTCTAAAATGCTTACAGCTTTCCAAAATAGAGAAAATAATTGACTGATGTAATATTTATAGTAGCAAAGTTTGCAAAACTGTATTTGAAAGGATTTACAATACTTCTTATTAAGAAAACTAGTTTACTTTTTGTAGTTTTAAATATAGAATTTAAGAAATTTGATGTATTTAATTCATAACTATTGTGTGATAATTAGAGAAGCATCCAGGACACAGTCCAACACAACATGACTGACACTGCCAACTGGTGTAAGCACAGGTTTGGTGCCCAGCAACACATTTTTTTTTCCTGAACCAATTTTAACGGTTCAGGAAAAAAAAAAGAATAATAATCCTTTATATGATCGGTTATGATCATATAAAGGATTATTATTCGCTGTGTGTTGAGGAAGTTAGTATGGTACAATTGTACTTCTAGCCATCTTCCTAGATGTTTGTCTTTTTGTAACTAATTTTACTGGTTGATACCCTCTAGCTAAACTTTCCACAATTGCTGTCATAAAACTTATTCTAGACATGGCTTACACTTATTAGTGTTAAGCTTATATAATAAGTAGCTGTTTATAATAGCCCTGCCAAATAAAGGAAAGGCAACTTTTGTAGTCCACTTTATTGTCTAACACTCTGACAGGTACATGTAGAGCTGCGCATCTCCCAAATCTACCCCTCTCATGGTTATTATAAAAGGCAACAAGATTGGGCTTAATAACTAAATTACTTCTTCTGTTATGCAATTCAGTAAAACCTGCTTTGGCAAAAGTAGACAGCAATACAGGTTTTTTTTACCATTTGGATATGCCACACATAACAAAAGACCTTTTTTATATTGGCAAACTTCTTTGTTTTTTCAATTTTGTTTTAAAGCAGATTGCTGATGCTGTGGTCAGATGTAGATAAAGATCCTATAGCAGTTATTGAGAAGTATAATAGTTATCAATACCTAAGTGATAACCTTGATGGAGGAGGTTGGTTTGATGCATAAGGCAAAAAACCAAGTTGTAAGTCATACCATGGACAACAACTGCTTCATCTGAATATTTTCCTCCCTTTTAAATTTCAAACTGAGACAAATAACCATTAGTGCTGTTTGAAACACACCATAATTTTATCCCAAACCAATAATGACCTCTGTTTGGCATATATTAGCAGAGATGTGGCATCTCCTTGTAACCAATTATGCTCTTATATATAGAAATATCTGAGGAATATAAAAATACAGAAATTTTTTGTTAAAATGTTTAGCTAAATACTGAACTTTATATGTTTTATTTAGTTGTTTTTGATTAGGGATAGAGATATCAGTAAAATGAATAAACTTAAAGTAAAGAGATATCAGTAAAATGAATAGACATCATCAGAACCGGAGTCTACATAAAAATAAAAAATTCAAATGCTTAGATTTAGTGATATATTTAAATTAAATAATATTGTATACAATTTTTTAATAAAAAGTATCATCAAATAAGCTATCATCACTGCTACTTAAATATTCTTTGCTTGTACAACTTTCTTCTTCTGCAAAACTTTATTCTCTGTCACTCATCTTTAATATGAAATATACACAAACAATATATCAGAAGATAGAAAATAAATGTGCTTTATTCAATGGTTTTTAATTTATGAATAACAGCATTTTTTCAGAAAGAGTCATAGTTCTAAAGCCACGATCGTGGCTCTACGTGCTCTGACAGCATATCCACGATTGTGGCTCCCTGTGATCAAAGGGTAAGGTTATTGTAAAAATGTTTTACATTTAAACAAATCACAAAGAAACACAGAGCTATAGAAAAGAATCATTTTTTAACAAGTATTTTTTTTTTTTTTGTGATTTTTAAATTAAAAAAAAAATTAAATTAAATCTAAAAAACCTTAATTTTGCAAACTCTTTTGTTAAGAATTCTTAAAACAAAAATAAATACTTTTTAAACACTTCTACATAATATTTTAATCAAGCAAACTTAAAAAAATACTTAACTAAAACAATATAAGTATATTTAATAATTTGAATCGTACTGTTTATAATAACCAAAAAATTTGTTCATTAAAAAATAAGTTCTTTAACTTATAAACCAACTCAAAAATATTTCCATTCTGCATAAAATTACAAAACTCTTTTTTTTTCATGTGCAAGCAAATTATTTTAGAGTAATAAAATAAAAAAATGGAGAATAAATATGAGGTAATCTTTGTTAAGAAAAACTCAAATTTGTTTATTGAACATTTTGATTTGTTTTTATTTATATACCAAATTAAATAAAATATACTAACATGTTAAAATATTTTAACATGACTTGTGCCATTTATAAACCGTAGGGCAGCTGCCCTTACGGCACCATTGGTTTTGAATAAAATTTTATTTTGATGAAGAATGACAAATTACATACGATTTTAAAAACATAAGTCTTTTTTTCTGTGGTAGTTTCAATTCAAAAAACATCGCCAAAGTCCCAGGATTTGAAAGCTTTCAAAGTAACTTTTTTGTCCTTCAAAATACAATCCAAATTCAAACTTTAAACAAATATACTAGGTTTTTGTATACTAGTTTGTCTTATTTTATATTAAAAAATACAAAGTCATTAGTAGAGAATGCTGTCATCGAACTGGAACGTGCCTTAGTATTAATTTAATGGAGTCTGCAACATGCGTGTGCATAATTAAACCTCCATTATATAAATATTTAACGTAATATTAGTATCATCACCAAATATTATAGTCTTCTTGTAATTTCTTTAACTTTATAATATAACTTGATTTATGAAAAAAAAAATTTATTGAATTGTGCGGTTTCTTTTGCGTGCAAAACATATCTTCGTTTAAAAACTTTTTCTTCTGGGCTGACCCCCCTCCCTGTATATCTTAAAGTTAAAGGTATCCATATACCTTCAACTAATAAAAAAAGCAAAAAGTATTTAACAAAAATATTGAGACATTTTTCCGAGATATTAAAAGAAATATATATATGAACTATTTATTTTTATTGTACTAAAAATTATTTCTTCATTAATTATTATTAATGAAGAAGTAGTTTTTAATGCAATAAAAATAAATTGTTCATATATATATTTTTTTAACACCACGGAAAAATCTCTTAATATTTTTGTTATTAGACATTACAAAATATAAATATATTTTGTAATATATAGTTTTTTACTGAATTTTTATTAAAAACATCTGCAAACAATTTGTAGTTAAGGATTGACGAACTTTTTTCATGTTGATATTTAGATAAAAAGTTATATTTAGATAAAAACATATTTAGGTAAAAAGTTTATCGAAAAATTACATTGAATATAATCACTATAAAAAGATAAGAAATATCATCACGATAAAAAATTACAACCAGGACTCAATTTAACAGTCAGACATCTGACATTGTCCGGCTAAAACCTCAGATTTTTTTGTTTATCAATATCTTATTATATTTTGTTTACTCCTGAAATGTTGAACTAAAATTATTATTAAAATAACATTTGAAAACATAACAAACTTTTCATATATTTACATTTACGTTTATACATTGTTTTAGTTATTTGAGTTAATTGTTAAATTTAACTAGTTAGCGGATTGCCGTAGTTAAAACACTTTACGTCTATAAAAAAAAAAGATTAAGCTAATGCATTAAGCATTTTTTATTTAAAATAAGGCCTGATATATATATATATATATATATATACATATATATATATATATATATATATATATATATATATATATATATATATATATATATATATATATATATATATATATATATATACATATATATATATATATATATTACCTATTTTGAATTTATTTTACAAAATCAAGTGCTCAATGTTCTTAAAAAAACAGAGCAATAATAAATTAGTAGAAAATCACTTATCAAACTTTTTTCATTTTACACTGTGTTTCATCAATTGAGACTCATCAAAAATAAATACTCAAATTATTAAAACTTCAATAAATACCAAAAATTAACTTACAGGACGTAAATAAATATAAATGCCTTAACTATTGTAAATTTTCACACATGTGACACTATTATAAAAAGAATTCTTTAGAGTTGTTTACTTCTCTTATTTTTAAAAAAAATTTTTTTCAAAAGGGGAAATTAATATAATTTTTTTTTAAGCTCACTTATTTTTATAGTTTTTTAGGAAAAACTTATTTTCATGCCTACATTCGGAAATCAGTTCTGATTTTTTGTTTAATAAACATTCTTGGTTCGTATGTGTAATTATTTCGTTTTTCTTGGTGGCATATTATGCATTTTTTTTGGAAATATTATTGTATGCAGGTGGTGTTTTAAAGATGTACCAATTCAATAAAAAATCATGAATTCCCATATATATTTTAATTCTCATATATATTTTGACAGCATAGTTTCTTTTAAATACTTTTTATTTTTGAAAGATTGTTTATGTTAGGCAAAAAGTTTTTTTCATTCACCCTCTGTTAAGCCAATATATTGTTTATCAAGTACATTCTTAGAGGAAACATTTATATACCACTTATTTTGATAAACATTTTCCACTCATTGTACAATTGTTTTTTTGTTCACTAAATCAAATTTCTGTTGGTTTTTCATTTAGGATTTCTTTTTTGTTTATCAAAGCAATATTATGACTTGATGATGTGGACGATTTTAGTTAATATTAATACACAATAATTTGTCATTTGGTTTTTTGAAAGGCTTATATAAGTTTTCAGAGATGTTAAATGTGACATCAAGAAAGTTCACAAAGATTTTTCTGCAATATACAAATTGTCTCTTCTGTAGATTTTCACAAATATTAAATGTTGTATATATATATATATATATATATATATATATATATATATATATATATATATATATATATATATATATATATATATATATATATATATATACACATACAACCCTTGGAATTTGGTTCAGCATTCGGCAATGCTGACCTAACTGCCAATGTGAAAGTGTTTGAGGTCTGCAAAAATTTGCCGATCTCGTTTGTATGTTTTATGGTCAGACCTTTGTATTAAAAAATTTTTGCTGACCTTATGCCGACCTCAAAACAATTGAGGTCGGGAAATTATTAAAATAATATTCATTTCGAAACAAAATTGTTATATTTGGTTTTATTACATAAAAAATTGCGTTTTTTAAGAACAAATGAAAAAAATGCATTTCTAATGTTTTTTTTATGATAATTTTGATAAATAAGTTAAAAATATTTCGAAATGAATATTATTTTTAAAATATTTATATAATTTCGCTTCATTTAAGTACGAGGTTGACATATTTTTGAAAAACTTTTTTTTCGAAAATATTAGGGACCCATTAAATATTCGAGGGTCTTGAGGGACCCCTTAAAATATTTTTTATTCAAAAAAAATTTAAACCTAGTGTTTTTGTATTAGATAGAACACATTTTGGGGGTGAGAGCAAATTATTTTCAAAAATGTTGTTTTTTGGGACACCCTAATATATATATATATAAATAAATAAATAAATTTGTTTATTATTTTTTCAGCATTATCCTGAAAACTGCTATTATGATGGAAAAGTGCGTGGAATAGAGGACTCATATGCTTTTATAAGTACATGCAGTGGTGGATTAACGTAATTATTTTTATATGATAGTTTTGAAGATTTTCCTTAAATAAATTTTAGATTTAATTGAAATAACATTTTTAGTGGGACAGTTGATGATGGTAAAACACGATATAACATAATACCAAAGGTGTGCATACTTGTTAATACAAACTTATCTATATTTCTTTAATTGTGTGTGTGTATATATATATATATATATATATATATATATATATATATATATATATATATATATATATATATATATATATATTGTATATATTAAGTAGAATAAAATAATAATCTTAGTTTTCTTTTTATCAAGTATGATGGAATCAAACATTATTATCACAATGTCGAGAATCAAATGAAGAAAGAATATAAAGGAATGAAAAATTCTGATGTTAATGGTAATTCAATTCAAAGGCTTTTAGCTTACTATAAAAGTTATCATAAAAATTAATCATCATCATTGTCGTTATCATCATCATCATCATCATCATCATCATCATCATCATCATCATCATCATCATCATCATCATCATCATCATCATCATCAGTATATGGTTCTCTGTTTGTTATTGCAACAAGGTTATCGGCTCACAGGATTTTAGATTATTGCCGTGCCGCTTAATATTTTTAAATTTTTTTTTCCATATTACCAATAAAAATGATCTAAAAATTTTAGATATGTCATTTTTGAAAAAAAATATTGAGAAAAAACTGTAAATATAAGATCCGTTTTAAAAAATGCGTTGTATTACCGAATGCATTGAAAATGAGGGTGTATGCATGGGGATTATAAAAATGACATTCGCGTATGTTTTTTTAAATCATTTTCTTCGAATCAAGCTATAAACTAAATAAATCCACATTTCTAAATTTTGACATTTTTCATATCATCGTGGTGTTTTTAAGTTCAAGTAAACTTTATATAATATATTAGTTAACAAATCTCGTACTTGGGTTTTCAAAAAAACCCTTTAATAAAAATTTTTTTTTATATGTTTTTAAGAAATTTTTTTTTGCTGGATGTAATATTTACTAAATCGAATGTCTGAAAAATATAAACTTTGCTTTTAAAATGAAAAAGATTTTTTGGAAATTTGGTTTTAACTGTGAGGTGTTGCATTACCGAAACTACACAGGTTGCATTACCGAACATTTTTGGTTTTTGCTTATAAATGAATTTGAAATGTCTATTTTAGAATGACTTTTAAGTTATTATTTTAATATAAAACTTATTTACTCTTTTTTATCCAAAAAATAAAATTGATGCAAATGATAATTGTAAAATCGAACGGAAATTATTCAAAGTCTTAGGCGCGTTATAGGACTCTCAGGGTAAAGAAATGGACAATCAATTAAAACAGGATAAATTTTTTTTACAGAATATAAAACTATATATTGAACCTTTATGAAAATTTTTTTTAAATAAATAAAGCTTTTAATACAATGTTTATAGTTAACAAATGCGCTCATTTTGAATACACAAATAACACTATTTTTGAATATTTAAGAATAAAATCTCTGCAACAATCCTCTGACGTATTTTTTAAATCAAGGTTTCTTATATTTATATTTTTTAAGTATTAAGTTATTTTTGACTTAATGAAAAAAATACACACAGCGAAATGTTGTTTTAAGCAACCTTACCAGCAAACATTTTACAGCAGAATTTTAGTAGACTTTTAAAGGCATTTTGAGAGTTTCTCACTGTTTTTCCACTGTAAAAAGGATTACTAGTTTCATAGTGGACCATTAGTGGCAGCCTCCATATTAGATAGCCAACAACTAGCTTTTATATTACATGTGGAAGAGTTACTGGCTAGCCACTTTTAGCAAATTAAAAATTTTAGTAACCTATGAGCAAAACTCCAACAAACCGCTCAAAATGCTTATAAAAGGTTCACTGCAAATCCAAATTAAAATAACTGCTGGGTTATTAAAATCATAATTGGGTATCACTTTCACAGATTTTTATAAAAACACAGTTATTCATAGTTTTTAAAAGTTCAAAAGTGTTTCATTAATTAAGTTTATAGCCTTAACCAGAGAGACTGACATTATCCTACAGGGCTCGAATTAAACGTACCGCAATTGCTTTTTATACTTTCGCGATTAGTTTTTTCTTAAAACATATTTTCGCGATTGGTTTACTTTTTTAGTTGTTTATTTACTATTTTTCTAATTTAGCTTTTTTTTTGTCAATTCTTAAAAGTGATGTTTTCATAGTAAAGTACGTCATGCAAAGTTTGATTTTAGAATAGAAGCATGGTCATTTGCTTTAGAATAGAAGCATGATCATTTGCTCTTTTGCGTGGAGATTTTTATTTAACGTAAAGCACTTTTTAATTTAAATTACTTTAAATCTCTGCTTAGTAGCAAATTAAAAAGACAAAAGAATATTTTCTTCATTCTATTTTTTTTTTAAAAAACAGCATTTTTATCTATTTTTTAAAAAAACCTTGCTCCAAATTAACTTATTAATAATGAATTAAATTATTATTTTATAAACAATTTTAATAATTATTTTTACTAAGTATAATAAAATATATATTAATTCAATTTTATTGAATAAAATTTCTATTAGTAAAATTGTACTAATAGAAACTAGCAACTTTTTTGCTTTCACGTTTTTTGCCTTGAAACTATTGAAGTTATATTTAGTTCACTTTACTGATTGGATAGAGTATATCACAGTAAATTAACTTATAACCTAAATCAAAACAATCAGTTAAGTTGAGATAGTAACTTACAGTTACTCAAGTATTAATTTAACAATTATATTAATTTATTTAATATACTCGAAAAAGTTAGCCATAGACATGTTTCAATTTATTTATCATCTAGACTAAACATTTTCTATAAATACGCAAGTTTTGAAAATTAAAAATGTTATTGTTTATTACAACTGCAACTTAAAATTTAGTTTATAACTTAGGTTATAACTTAAATTTTAAGTTGTAATTAATAACAGTAACTTACGCTTTTTTAAATTCTGCCAAGAAAATTATAGTTATGTTAAAAATAGAACAATTACGAACTAAACTTACAATTATATACTAACACAACTTCCCTCTCCCCCTCTCCCATTACCGCAAAGCGGCGCAAGGTTTAAGGTGGGTGGGGTGGGGTGGGGGTGGGGGTTGTAAAATTTTTTTTTTTTTTGCGATTAGATTTTTTTGCGTTAATTCGAGCCCTGTCCTATTTAGTAAAGTACTGTTTTATTATTTTTTTAAAAAAAAAAATTTGTATACCAATTTACAAAAAATCATGATTAATATCATTAAGTACATATCTTATTTAAGTTAATCACAAGTTTGAAAGTCATAGTTGCATAGATGCTTTAAATGCAAAGGAAAATTACCATTTTAATGTGGTCTTGTTGATGACACCCTCAAACACAAATTTTTGAAAACTTTACTTGGCAGCATTTTTATAGATTATAACTAAATTCTTGTATTTCCTGATAACATTTTTATTGAAAAATTTATACAAATTGTACAGAAGAAAATGGACACTTACATAGAAAAAAGCACACCACTACATGAAAAAAGAAAGTTAACTAAATCTTTGATCAATTTTTGCAGAACTTCTATAGCCTATTAAACTTTGCAGAACTTCTATAGCCTAGCAATAAAAAACAATCTTAACAATTTGTATGCTATGAAAAATGCTGTTTCATCAGTTTTGTTTTGATGTACAGATTTTGACGACAAGGAATGTTGACACCGTATGTCCCCAAGAGTCACTAAGACTTGGTGCAAATATCATTTAGACATGGTGAAAATACTTATGTAGAGCAAGTAAATATTTCTGTTTCAATCTTCATAATTTTTAAACCAACTTTTTGTGATGTATTTTCAGATGATATACTAAAATGCCAACGAGACACTTAACCAGATTATTTGGAGACGCTGCCCAATAAATATTTTTGGGGGCAGAGGGTTCTTAGAGTCTGCAGTTAAATAATCTGTTATTGAATTTAATGAAGGTCCTAATGGAATCCTATTTGTACTAAATAAAATCAAACTAACAGGATATGTTACGTCTATGAAATTTAATAAAAAGAATAGAGAAGCTATAAAGCGGTTTCTTCAAAAGTCCACTAAACGTTTCAAAAAGAGAAAAAAATAGCTAAGAACAATTAAAAAGACTTTAGACAAAAATAATAGAGAAAAAACTCACAATATATTCCTGGAGGGTTTTGATATGTTTATATGAACTTTTTATTATGGTTTTATTCTTTTGTTTTATATATTTGTCGTTTCCTCAGAATTAAGTTTTGTCTCAAATTCAAATCTTTACAATATGATAACTTTAAACTCGTTAAGCTTTTGATCTATCTATTTTTTTGATTTTTCACATAATTAAAAAGGATTCGGATGAGAGAAGGATATTTAAAACAAAATAAGAAAAGTACTTTTTTATGAGACTTTTTTATAGTATTTGTAGAAAAGAGAAGGAGAAGCAACATTACAACAATGTGACAGAGGTTGAAGGTTGGCTGCAAGAGCAGGTCCAACTATGTTTACAATGCGTTTTTGCACCTTGTCTAAAAGAGAAAGGGCATCATTAGAAGATCCACCCCAGATATGGCAACAGTATTCCATACAAGGCCGGATTTGAGATTTGTAGAGATAGACATATAGAATCCAGAGTAAGAAAGTGACGAGCTCGATAAAGAGAAGCAACTTTAGCAGATGCTAATTTTGCAACGGATTTGATATAAGGTTTCCAAGAAAGATCAGAAGTAAGAGTTAATCCTAGAAGATGAAGAGTAGGAGATTTAGGTGAAATCACCACTTAGATTCTAGCTAGCTAGAATCTAAGTGGGTGATTTTAGATGATTCTAGATAGCTAGCTATCTAGTATCAGAGCTGTTTAAATAAACTGTTACTCAATTATTGATTATAAATCGATATAAATCACTTTGATTCAAGCCAGCTGATACCCTTTAGGTATATCACAAATTGATTGTACTCAAAAAAATATATACACTTTTAAGTTAAGTGCTTTTTTCGTTTTAATTTTGTAAAAATTAAAAAAATCTTACAACTTTAAACACGTGTGTAATTGTCTAGACTGATATATATTAGATTTTAATAAATTTACTACAATTTTGTTTTAATACCAAAATATTTTACTTCACTCACCAAACAAATTTTTGTCTACCCAACAAAATTTTTTTGAGCCGGCTGACCACGTGACCACTTAATAAAAAAAACAAAATTATTTAAGTTGCAAAACTGAACATGGAGTTGCAATAGCAAACCAAAAAGTTGCAATAACAAACAAGAGATGCTTTACCGAACAAGCGCGTTTCAATACAGAACATTTTGGTTGCATTACCGCACATCCACATGATCATCCTCATCATTATCTAGTATATATATATATATATATA